GAAAATGAAGCTGTGTTCGCCTCTCTATTTTGTGGCATCATCGTGGCTCAGCTTCGCGGTCTCATGGCATCAACATGGCATCAGCTTCAATGTATTGTGACATGAGTATGACCTCATTATTTTCACATAGAAAGGCAGTAGAGATAAAACACATGTACAGAAGTTCGATATGTAATCGATTTGAAATTCAAAGCGGTAAGGGGAATAAAATAATATGACCAAGAGTAAAATGACATTTTAAAAAGATATCTTGTTTAATTATTTAATGTTGCGAGTATTGGGTACCAAAAACTATGTGAAGTACATTGCAATCTGCAAGGTGATGAGTGTCATATTGACTGCAAGGAAAAACGTGATCAATTTAAATCACACGATGCAATCGTCGTTCGGATACAACACAATTTGCTATACGAAATGAAACTGTTCTTGTTATAAAATTACCTGTGTTTCGTTTAGTTTTAGTCGAGTCCGATCCCATGCCCGGACTACGAATACATGCAAAACACGCGAACGCCACCTGGCGTTGTCGCCTCCCATCTTGATACAAAGTTCCAAAACAAGTACGTACATTTCCAACTATGATTGGATGGTTGTGGTGGCGTCGGTCTGGTAAAATTTTACATCTAATTTTCAAAATAAAAATAAGTGACCTGAGCTCGATCTATACGTACATGTACTATAAAAGTATTCTCACAAAAAATATTTTCGAATAAAAAGGAGCCACAGGCCTGGTAAAAAATCGAATAGCTTTTGACGTGCGGAAATAATTTATTGGGCTTCAGAAATAAAGTGTTCATTTAGTTGTAGCCGTAAATATTTGGTGACCAGTCGATGAACAATTTGAAACTCATTATACACACGGAAGGCCTTCGATACTGAATATCATCGACCCCAATCTGGTTTACCTTATTTCCCAACTTGCAAAACTGATTTGTATCTCAGTCCAGTTTTTCTTTTTTCTTTTTTTGAACTGAGGTCAAATCCCAGCCGTTTGTCAAAATATGCCGATGTTTTTTAGTGAATGATTGTGAAGCCTGTCACAGCACAGTGAATCAACGCCGAAGATTGGACAGTACGACGACCCTTCAATTAGCGTCAAATATGCTTTGTTACAACATCATTGATTTGCTGAAAGTCACCTGATCGGAGCACGACCTAGGTCACAGAACCATATTTGTCCGTATTATCAACGGGACTTTGTGAGAGAACCACACCCACATTTTGAACCATTTTTAGCGCGGAAGTTGCCAATAAATATCGAAAAACTCATGAATTTTATGGATTTGAATAAAATAAAGCTAGCGTTTGGTAAAACTGGTTAATAATATATCCCCCGATGCTCTTGGATTTTTTTTTATTTTATTTCAAGGCGAGAAATGGATAATTGAAGTTCCATCGATTTCAAGGCGACTGTTTTACCGTGACAACTCTACGCTGTGTTGTAGTTTCACGAGGTAAAAAAATATATATAATAAATAGTACATGTTTAATTGTTTGGTTTTACAGCCCACAAATTACGGGACATGATCCCCATGAATTACCATAAATAAATGCTGATTGTGTTGAATAATGGACGTCGGGACCGTTTGAAGAAACCAACAGGGATCAATGTTCCAAACAAATTATTGGGACACGGTCGGTAGACATTTCAAACAAATGAAATTATTAATGAAATACGAGATTTTTCCAGATATTTACGAACATACTGTCACAAAAAATATATGCAAAATTGACAAATACACAAAGATATTAGGTTTTATTTTAGCCTTTATTTTCACTCAGTCCATGCGTGGGACTTCTATTTAGCTTCATGGTCCTTCGGCTTGTGTTCTCCTTGGGGGAAATAACAATAATTATACAAATCGTAAACTCAACACAGTCAGGAAAAGAAATCCGGACAACCACATCGTACTTCTGTTGAAATACATTTTGTAGCAGTGCGTCATGTCAGAATATTGTTTAAAATAAAATAGTCAATCCCAGCCAAAACTAGGTCAAAGGGTCAGATTGCGTGCATATAATTATAGATAGTTAAAACAAAAAGTATTTGAACTTTTGACGGTTGTTTAACATCTATGCACGGTTACTAAACTAGTAACCGTGATCTATGAAAACCAGAAAACTGTTAGTAGTCCGAATTTTTGCACAGTCGAAAATAAAGCGGAAATTCAACAAGCAAAAGCGAGCGATTGAAAAGCGGAAGCGGGCGAGAGGTTGGGCGAAATGAGTTCTGTACTTTTTTGTTTGATGAAGCGATGCTGATGCCACATTGTCGCCATAATGAGGCCACAATGAAGCAAAGTGATAACCGCCTAACTTTTTAATGTCGCGACATTGAAGCGATGCTGAAGCCATAACAATGCCATAATGATGCGATGCTGAAGCGAAGGTGAAGCTGAAGTGAAGCCAAAGCTTCCGCGAGAACTGTACTGTACCTTATTCATAGAGTGCCTTGTACCAAAAGACCGTCGCGACACAGTGCACGTTGCGATATAGCAATCGATGCATGCAGGGTGACAAGGGGAAATTCTGATTGAGGTAACCAAGATGGCTGCGTTGAGTGCATGATTTTCTGCGGTGTTTAAAACAACACCTCGCTGCCTACTTCGCCCACAGTCCCTCAAGGCACTGTGCTTCAATGTATTTTCTAAAATAATCGTTTATTTTTAATTAGCCGGGGGTTTTGAAATGTGTGCATTTTGTCACAGAAAAGTAAGATATTGGCAGCGGTAAATACCTGTAATTTTCCCGCAATGCCGTCAGCTGACAATGTTACGGTGGTCATAGCCCGGAGTCGTAGCATTAGCCCCGACTTTAGTTTTGACACAGTAATAGAGGGACTGTGGTTTTCAGATGCCTTCGTAGAAAACAATGTTGCCATTATCGATTTAATACTTTCATCATATTTTGATAACTCGCAGTCTCACAGACTTTACAAACTTAACCAAAAAATGTGTTCTATGAATTTATGAACTGACATGGACACAAAACTGACCGTACTTGTTGCGGACAAAATGTACCAGTTCGCTCCATGGATAAACATATTTTACTGACTATGCCAAATATATATATAACGTAAGTAATTTATCCTAAGAAGCTGCTCATTAAAATTCTAGTGCATTTTTTCCCTGTTCTGTTTCAAACATTATTTTACCATATATATCACAATAGAGAGGGTTTATGGTATCACTTGATTCACATTTAAGGATGCTGTATAGGTTTTTGGTATTGATTTTCTAAACGGGTGTTTCCATATAAAATATTTACTGAACCATACAAAGCTATATATTGATGGAAAGCTTATTTCACACTGAATGTGAAATCGACAAGATAGTGTGTGTATGGACGTGTAAAGTCACGTGATCTCTGTGTAAACACAGAAGCCATTTTCGGTAAACAAATTATTGAACCAATGAATAAACGAATTTAGTGGAACATTGGCAACAAAACAGTTTTTCAGATGACGCTCACCACCATTCTGCGTTGATTGAGATATATATCTACATGATAGTTGGAGAAGAAATAATAATTTAGCTATCTTGAAAAACAATGCGATCTTGTTCTTTTCGGTATTCAGAAATTAGAACGTAATTTCGAAA